CTCTCTCTCTCTCTCTCTCTCTCTCTCTCTCTCTCTCTCTCTCTCTCTCTCTCTCTCGCGCGCGCGCGCGCGCTCTCAAGGTTGAAACACAAATCAGTCAGTGCTTACTTTGTCCTGCTTTCCGGGGTCATATGTGGTGGTGGTGATTACCAGGGGCCAGAGAGCCAAGCAGCTTCGCGGCTTGCCTCTGGTGATGATGTGGCAATGGCCTCATTGGGGAGGAGGAGGGTGAGGGGTGAGCCATCTGAGGCAGACGAGATAGATGTGAATGCCAGATAGAAACCGGTCTGACAGACTGACACTGAATGTGACTTCTATCAGACTGACATATAACCCTGACATCCGCCTGTCATTCAGTGCTGCTGCATTCGGTACTCATCTCATCTGGTACGTCCATGGCGCAGATCGAGCAGCCAGACGGACATAATCTCGAGCAATGGCAGTTTTACACACACAACTTTGTTTTACTCATTTTATATTTTCTTTGCAGTTGCTTAAACTTATTCTACTTTGTTGGTTTGTCATTGCTTTCAGCTCTTTTTTCTCTTCTTTGAAGTTCTTTCAGACACAGAGCAAGGGTGTGGGCAGTAAATCACTGAATCAAGCTGTGAGTGCTGGCCACCATGTGCACAAAAGAGGGGAAGGAAAATGGGGGGAGCGAGGAGGGAGCAAGGGGCGGGAGTGAGGGGGAGTGAAGAGAGGGAGCTAGGAGGAAAAGAGGAGTGAGGAGAGGGAGAGAAGTGAGGGGAGGGAAAAGGGGGATTAGAGGAGAGAGAGGAGGGGGGGGGGGGATTCTCCCTTCTGACGATTACTTCAAACTGTGAACAGCTAACAAAACACACGCAGGGAAAGAGGCTGGGCAGATATTTGGCCGACACAGGACACGCTCTAGCATAGCGATGAACAGGTGAGGATGAAAGTCTTTACAGGAACTCGAATTAATCCTTCTGATTTGGGAGAATATAAAAGGAAGGGGCTTAGATCATACCGCATGATGAGCGTAACTTGCTTGTCCTTGCCGCTGATAATGTTTAGCCATGATGGTCCATTCTAGTGGTCCCCACTCCTCTTCCTCAAAAACTTTCCCAAGAGCTTTCTTGTACAGCTGGTGATGGAGATGGGAGTCAAGTCGACGACGACGGGTCAAACAAAATAAAATAAATAGCCACTAGATCATCTCCAGCCCAAAGAAACCAGGGTCACGAAAAAAAAAAGAAAAAAAAAAGGTTCAAGTAATGAGGAATCAATCAGTATAGCCAGTTGAGCACGTTGCCGGCCTTGGAGGAAGGAACTGAACGTTTAAACTTCAATCTTTATTCTTCAATGAAATGAAGTTCAATGAAATGAAGTTCAATGAAATGAAGTTCAATGAAATAAAGTTCAATGAAATAAAGTTCAAAGAAATAAAGTTCAATTAAATAAAGCTCAATGAAATGAAGTTCAATGAATGAAACATAGTTCAATGAAATGAAGGTCAATGAAATAAAGTTCAATGACTGAAATAAAGTTCAATAAAATGAAGTTCAATGAAATGAAATGCAGTCCCATGAAATGAAATGAAGTTCAAACTTTAATCTTTATGATGAGTTAACGTTAAAAAACTTCAAAAATTCGAACTTTGAAAAAGGAAACAACATCGAGTTTTGATTTGAAAAAAAAGAAGAGCTGTGGGCCCACGCCCTCTGTGGAGAGTATCATCCAGTATGCCTCTTGAAGGCAAAAGAGCAGAAAGGGATGGGGAACATGACTTGAGAAGGGGAGCGGAGGGGAGGGGGAGGGGGAGGAGGAGGGGGGAAGATAGAAATGGAAGGGGAATTATTGTATTGTTGGGTGGGGGGGGGTGGGAAGTTGGGAATAGCAAAACAATGGGCCCCGTGGATCAGCACCCCTGCCTGAGCTTATCTGGACAGCTCCTGAGGTCAGGTGCATGATCTGTATATGGACATAACTAAGGTGTACATACGTTTGCAATCTTGGAACGGGGGCGATTTGATGCGGGACGAGCATGCAGCAATCACACAGAGCAGAGAGGTAAGAAGTCTATCAATTTGAGTACAGTATGGATTTGTTATTGCACATACGCAATGTTCTCAAAGCTCTGTTGATCGAGTACAGTACCTTGCCCACGTCATACAGCAACTCTGTTCCTGCTGGGTACCCGCTGTACGGCGTAGCCACTCTCGGGATGTTGGCATGAGTACTGTCGACACACACGGCACACAACAGCAAAACGGAATCCAACAGCAGAGTGTGCGTGTGTGTGTGTGAGAGAGAGACAGACAGACAGACAGACAGACAAACAGACACAAAAGAGAGAGAGAGAGAGAGAGAGAGAGAGAGAGAGAGAGAGAGAGAGAGA